ATTTTCTTTTTCTTTTTCTTTTTATTGTTGGTCCCATTTTGATTTTCTTTCCTTTTCTTTTCTATTTCCATCTGGATAATGTTTATATGAAGGAAATTACGTTTCCGTCCTTCCATTTTTCTTCTATTTTCAATTTACTCCTTCCACTTCTAAATTTATTTAATATACAAAATATTTCTAAACGATATTTCCATCCTTCATATTTTGTTTCAAATAATACGTTTGAATTTTTAAATGAAATTCATATCTTTACAAACATTTAAAATTCAAAATTACTCTAAATCTCAATTTTCGTTCAAAATTCTAAAAATATATATATTTATTTCACGTCCACCTGATTGGATGAATTGGGTTAAGTTGGGAGTTGAAATGGGTCGACATTGTTGTTAGAGATGTTCACCATGTGGATCAAGGACGAGAAACTCTTCCTCGTCTATGTCCATACTACCTATTTCAATTTTCATCTCTATGAAATCTATTATTTATTTTCGAAAGAATTTAAGGGAGAATTCTCCACACGAATTGAGTTTATAGTAAAAATATAGACTTATTTATTAAATATGTAAATAAATATTGAAATAAGGACCGACCTTATTTAGGTAACATGAAGAAATACCCATTCTCCATTACGTTCGGGGCAAAGTCTCACAAAATCAATTTCGAGGGTTAATTGATTTTATGAAAATTATTTAAATTATGTTTTCATATATATTTTAATTGTAAATAATATTACTTGCATCTTTTGTCGGATAATATTTGAAACGATTTCAAAATTAAATATATATTTTAAAAAAACAAATTTGAAAGTAAAATAAGTAAATAAATAAATAAATAATGAAAATGAAAATAGAATTAAAGATGACGTGGAAAACGAGGGAAGAAAGGGTGAAAGCGAAGGAAGAAGGAATGAATTATGAACGGAAATTATTAAAAAAACACAATTATGGGAAACAATTCCATGGCGCTGACCTGGCATCCTACCTTCCACCTGTCAACTTCACCTTCACTCCGCGCTCTTTCCTTTTTCTCTTCCTCACCACGTGCCACGCATGCTTTTCCATGACATTACCCTTACGTCATCATCACCTCATCCATCTTCCCATTTAAAAACATCAATTTTGTTTATTTATTTATTTATTTATTGGTTCCTAATTACTTATTTTGATCTGTTTAGACTTTCAAAAATATTTACTTATTTGAAAAAATAATTAATTTTGTAATTATTAAGACTATATTTATTTCCATAAAAAGAGCAAAAACAGGTTAGATTTATGCAATTAAATATTCCAAAACTCTTAATTAAAATAGAAACGTTAAAATTTCTTCTTATATTTGAGGTGTCCAATTTTAAATTATATATATTTTTTATTGAATTTGTTAAAATAAAAATATTACTTTTCGTACTTAAAATTAGAGACCGAACATGTGAGATCACACGTTCGTTGTAAAGGAAAACATACAAACATGTGAAAAACCTCTCCCTCGAATGCTTTTCAAAATAGAGAGCCTAAATAACTATATGCAACGAGATAAAATAAACTCCAGACTAAAATAAATAGTATTTAACTAAATAAAAAATACTTAAAAAATCTGATTCAATAATTATATATAAAAAAAATTCAAAAAAAAATTATTATTATTATTAATAAATAGATATTGTTTTTATAACAAAAAATAGAATAATTCTCCCAAAAAAATGCAAATAAACGATTAAAACGAAAATATTATTATATTTTTCCATTTTGTGGTAACGAAAATAAATATAAAAAAAAAACCCCAAAAATCAGAATATAAAGTCACTGAGTTTTGCTTTTTTATTGTTATTTTTTCTAAATTAAAATTAGACACTAAAAATCCCCCAAACAAACACAAACCAACCCACAACCAGCCCCAAATTTTCGCTTCTAATTCCGGCGACCCCACTCTTTTCAGGACTGGGCGCGGTGGTGGAAGTGGTAGTTTCGTTGACACCGACAACCGCTGGCGAAGGTGCAGGAGACGCGCCGTCGTGAGCATTTGGGGCAGGACTAGCACTAGGCTTCTTATCAAACTCCAACACGCTCGTGGCCTTCAAATTAGCCTGTTCGAACTCATGAACTCTAGGAACACCAGAATCCGGGTCCACCGCCGGTCCAACTTGCCAGACCTGGTTCAGCGACTTGGTCTTAGGCGGAACTTTGACGGTGGCGAAGATAGTGAACCGACCATCGGAAAATTCGGCGGCGAGGCCCCAGACGAGGAAGGAGAGTTTCGGTGAGGGGACAACAGAGGAGTAGGAGGAGATGTTGAAGGTACGGACGGTGGGGGATTTGCCGGAAACAGAGGCGACGAGGGCCTGGGCTCCGGCCATGCCGGTGGAGGTGGGGTTGACAGCCCAGGCGACCCAGCCGGCGGAATGCGGCGGAGAGGCGAGAAAAGCAAGGGAGAGAGAGGAATTTTTGGGGTCGTAGGTCCAGTGGAGAAAGGCGTCGAGATGGGGGAGATCCTCGCAGTGGGCGAAGGATCTGTTGGCGAAGGATTGGGAAGAGCAATTGAGGGTTTGGGCGCGTGAAATTAGGGTTCCGGCAAGGGCTAAGAAGAGGATGAAATGGGCGGAGGACGCCATTGGAGAGGAAATGGGAGTGGGAGAGAAGAGGAAATGGGGAGAGAATATATAAAGGTGAATAGGGAGTGGGGCGTTAGGAGGTTGGGGAAGATCAACTTTCGTGCCACTAATTTTGGGAATTGCGAGTGGGAACTTACTTACCATAAAAACTTCTTTTCCTTTTCTTTTATGTTGCCGTTACCATGTTTGACTTTGACTTTGACTTTTATCTGTGTGTTCTAAGTAAAGTGGTCAACTTGATCGTAGAGTACTTCCTACCATCGTATTTGGATTATCGAACGTCATGCATACCTTTCGGACTATCGACCTCATCAATCTCGCGAATTCTACCAACATAGTGCCAAATATTCATATTGCATCGTCGAAAAATCATAATCACAGCATAACAACATCATTTATTATCTTTCACGTAACAAACTAAAAGATTTCTATAAAGTATATTGCTACGAAAGTTACGTTTATAAGAAACTAAAATGTCACCGCTCTATTAATAATTCATTCTAAACATTATTGGATTTTACGATAGGTTCGAAAACATTACTTTAATAATTAAAAAAAAAATAAAAAAATTCAGCCAATGGTACGGATCGAATAAAATAATAATATTGTTATTAAAATAATCCAAAGTTCATAATGTAATGAAATTAAATCATTTATTTTTATATTCGTAGGAATCAAAATAAAAAAAAAAAAACCAAAAAATCTGAATCACAGAGACAGAGTTTGTATTATTATTATTATTATTATTATTATTTTCTAAAATTAAAATCAGAAACTAATAATTCCCCAAACAAACACAAACCAACCCACAACCAGCCCGAAATTCCGGCTTCTACTTCCGGCGAACCCACTCTTATCGAGACTGGGCGCGGTGGCGGAAGCGGCAGCTTCGTTAAGGCCGACAACCTCTGGCAACGGTGCAGGAGACGCACCGCCGAGAGCATGTGGGGCAGGACTAGCACCACCCTTCTTATCAAAAACCAACACGCTCTTGGCCTTCAAATTAGCCGGTTTAAACTCATGAACAGAAGGAACACCAGTATCCGGGTCGACCTCCGGTCCAACTTGCCAGACATGGTTCAGCGACTTAGCCTTGGGCGGAACTTTAACGGAAGCGAAGATAGTGAACCGACCGGCGGAATATTCAGCGGCGAGATCCCAGACGAGGAAGGATAGTGTCCGTGAGGGGAGAACAGAGGAATAGGAGGAGATGTTGAAGGTACTGACAGAGGGGGATTTCCCGGAAACAGAGGCGACCAAGGCCTGAGCTCCGGCCATACCGGTGGAAGTGGGGTTGACGGCCCAGGAGACCCATCCGGCGGAATGCGGCGGAGAGGCGAGAAAAGCAAGGGAGAGAGAGGAATTTTTGGGGTCGTAGGTCCAGTGGAGAAAGGCGTCGAGATGGGGGAGATCGTCGCAGTGGGCGAAGGATCTGTTGAAGAAGGATTGAGAAGAGCAAGTGAGGGATTGGGCGCGTGAAAGAAAGCACCCAAAAATGGCTGAAAAGAGGATGAAATGGGAGAAGGACGCCATTGGAGGGGAAATCTCTGAGCTCTGAGAAGAAACTGGGAGTGGGAGAGGAGGCGGAATTGGGTAGAGGATATATAACGATGAACCGGTAGTGGGCCGTTGGGAGGTTAGGGAAGACCCATCTTCTGTACCCCTAATTCGAAATGCCAGCTGGAATTTAATTTTTATAATTTCAATAATTTTAAATAATTGTTATTATTAATTTAAAGTTATTTATTAACTATATAATACATTATGATTGTTAGTAAAATCATCGTGTCTGTGACTATAACTTATAATTATGTGTCTTAAAATTTAAAAGTATTTAATAAACGCAAGTATAAGCCGTTGTTAGCTAGCTAAAAAGTCAACTTTGATAAAAAAAAAAAAAGTCAACATAATTTAGAACCTATGATTAAAAAAAAATTATAGACACTAAAATAGTGGCTTGATTGATGCCAGCTGAAGATCCAGTTTTGGAGGACCCAATGCCTTTGCAATCGATTTTGGTTTTTTAATGAATAATTGTGGCGTTTGCTTTTAGTAATCATTTCTATATGTAAGTAATTCATGTTCTTAAATTAAAAAATAAAAGCTTCACTTTAAAATTGTTTTTTAAAAGTAAAAGATTTTAAAAATTATTACTATGTTCAATTTATTTTTGGTTTTAAAAAAATTGTTGGAACTTCTAAAACTTCATTTTAATTAATTTAATCAGTTTATAATTCGAATATATATATCGCGTATAATTAATTTTTTATTTATTTATTTATTTATTTTATTGAAAGTAGATTACTAAAATTAGAATTTTTTTTCTTGCTGTTTATAGGAATTGACAACGACGTCGTTTGGAAGCAATTAGGAGCGATATCGGAAGGAAAGGGACTCGTTTATTGGTTTCGCGGTTGCTCACCCGAGCGGAACCCAACGCTGGACTTCACAAAATTCCTTCACCGATACGACAAATGCCATCGCCGGCAAGAACCACATGCATCGGACTACATTCTTGAAGTCGAGGGCTGATCTTAGCAAGCATTGTTCATGTAATTCCAGTTGAATTGAAGGTGGATCCGGTCCTACTGAACTAAAGGAAGGAAAGCAAAATGTTGAGGCTAAGGGCGTTTCGGCCTTCGAACGAGAAGATCGTGAAGATACAGATGCATCCGACACATCCGTGGCTTGTTACGGCTGATGCGTCGGATCACGTCTCTGTTTGGAATTGGGAGCATCGGCAGGTTATTTACGAGCTCAAAGCAGGTGGAATTGATCAGAGGCGTCTCGTTGGCGCCAAGTTGGAGAAGCTCGCTGAGGGCGAATCAGGTTCGAGCCAATGAGATTTTTTTTTTTTTTTTAAATTGTTCTGTTTTGAATCTTTTTCTGAATGTTCATCTGAATTTTTCTTTTTTGTTTTGCTGATTTGTGTCTCTTGAACGTGATTGTTAGATTTGAAGGGGAGGTCGGCTGAAGCTATACGAGGGGGAAGGTGTGAGTCTGTCATCTCCCGGTTTTCTTTTGGTTGATTTGAAAATTGCTAATTGTTTAATGCAGTGTCAAGCAGGTGAACTTCTATGACGATGATGTACGCTTTTGGCAACTTTGCCGGAACCGTTCCGCAGCTGCTGAAGCTCCGTCAGCTGTCAACCAAGTTACATCAGCTATGAGTTCCTTTGCCCCTTCCACAAAGGGAAGGCATTTTCTAGTTATCTGTTGTGAAAATAAAGCCATATTCTTGGACTTGGTGACAATGCGAGGCCGTGATGTTCCGAAGCAGGATCTTGACAATAAATCTCTTCTCTGGTAAGTTCATCACTCTGTTTGATACCCCTTGATCGTGTAATTGTAGAATTAATTTGTGTTTTGATGGGAAGTAATGCCGCCACCATCCATGTTGCAGCATGGAGTTCCTTTCTAGAACTTCGGGAGGAGAGGGTCCTCTTGTGGCCTTTGGTGGATCAGATGGTGTTATTAGGGTCCTCTCAATGCTAACCTGGAAGGTTTGAGATATTTACTCACCAAACGAAGTTTGATAGCATTATCAAACTGTTGTCTTATTTTCTAACTTCATATTTTCTTGCAGCTAGTGCGCAGATATACTGGAGGTCATAAAGGATCAATCTCATGTTTAATGACCTTCATGGCTTCCTCGGGCGAGGTAACTCTATAAAATGTGATCTGGGTGTAATGTGTGATGCATCGACTCAGTTCCAATAATTTGATAGGAAATGGCATTCTCTCTCTCTCTTAATCGATTGAGGTCATTTATTCATCAATTATTGGTTTATTCTACATTTTTCGACATTTTTCTTTCAATTATGTATCGTTATGAGGAAAAGTTATTCAGATTGAAGATGGCATGTAAAGTTTGAGGTAGTGAAGCTTGGATTATAAACATGAAGATTTTGATGAAGTTGATAGAAACAGAACTTTGGTGGATTTGCATTTCTTACTTGATGTTTATAATTATTATCAAGCAATTTGGTGTACGCTTGTGATTTTGGGATTTGATTTGTGACAATGTTTCGATTTGAATTGTTGTACGCATTAGCATTTCAATAAATTGCCCTTTTTTTTTTTTTTTTCTTTGCTTATTGATGCTTTCCCTTCCTTTTCCTTTTAGATTTGTTACCATTTTGTATTTGTGGATTTGATTGCCAGGCGCTTCTGGTATCTGGTGCTAGTGATGGCTTACTTATACTCTGGAGTGCGGACAACAGCCAAGATTCACGAGAACTTGTACCAAAACTTAGCTTAAAAGTGCGTCCCCTACCTTCAATTTCTATAACTATTTTATTTGTTGGTTCATCAGTTATTATGTTTAAATATTTTATGCGTATGGCTTCTTCAAAAAACTTTTTGTTTTTGTCCAATTTTCCCTATTATATTCTTCTATCTGGTTGTTTCTTAAAAATTGAATACTTAATGCTTCACATTTTTACTTTTCATGATTAATATTTTTATTGTGTGTTCCATAATGATTAATGAACTGGATCTTTTACATTCTTAATAGGCACATGATGGTGGGGTGATAGCTGTCGAACTTTCCAGAGTGATCGGAGGTGCTCCCCAACTTATCACAATTGGTGCGGACAAAACACTTGCCATTTGGGATACTATCACTTTTAAGGTATCGTTGCATATTTATAGTGCATTACATTTTACAATACTGGATCGTTTAACAGATATTTATTAGGCTGTCTCCTGCCAAGTCTTCTTGAATACTGTGATATCTCATTTAATCTTATTCATCTCAGGAACTCCGTCGCATCAAACCTGTTCCAAAACTGGCCTGCCATAGTGTTGCATCTTGGTGTCATCCTCGTGCGCCAAACCTTGATATTCTCACTTGTGTTAAAGATTCCCACATATGGTATGTTTTTTATTTTAATATTACTATTCTTCTTCATTTTCTTAACTGATCATGTCAGATAAGAATGTTGAGGATTCTCGTTTTTTTTTTTTTTTTTTTTTTTTTTTTTTTTTTTTTTTTTTTTTTTTTTTTTTTTTTTTTTTTTTTTTTGTGAAGTAAAAGAGCGGTGATCTTGTGATGTCAGCTTTCACCTAATTTTTTTGTTTTCTTATTACATTTAGGCTCTTATAGGATAACGCTTGAACTTTTTCAGGGCTATTGAGCACCCCACGCACTCAGCTCTCACAAGACCACTTTGTGAACTTTCTTCCCTTGTCCCTCCTCAAATGCTTGCTCCAAACAAGAAAGTTAGGGTATGTCTTTCGCCACAAGCATGAATCACCTAACTATTCCTAATGAGTTTGTTTTGTCTTTTCGTTTCTATAAACATTTAGCCTAGATCATTGTTGTTTTCTTGGGGTTTCTTTCAAGCCCCTTGGTTCCCTTGCATCTTCTTATTCTTTTCTTGTTCCTTTTTTTTAGAATTTTTTTTGACCCCTAAACTTATCAAGTTGTATCAATTTTAACCCTAAACTTTCAATTTCATCCAATTGCACCTCATACTTAGATAAATGTTTCGATCTTAACCTTAAAGTTTTAGAAAGTATTGCAATTTTAACCCTCTAATAAGTTTTCTCTCCAAATATTGTTGAGAAAAAGTTGTCTTGTTCATTCAATAAATTGTATGAATATGGAATGTATAAAATTTCAAAGAAAAAAAAAAACGATATTGAAGCTTTTTTTTTTTCTTGAATAAGAACAATTTCTCATTGATGTAATTAAATGAAAAAATGTTCAAGGGTTACAAACACCTGAAGGGAGTGAAAATAAAAGAAGGAAAATAAAAATGTTTTTTTTTTTTTTCTTGAAAAAATGTTGCTTGTTCAAGATCATATATTGCTCGATGATTACTTATCAGTCTCATGTTGCAGGTTTACTGTATGACTGCTCATCCTTTACAACCTCATCTTGTTGCTACTGGAACCAATATTGGTGTTATCATCAGTGAACTTGATGCTAGATCTCTTCCAGCAGTAGCTCCTCTTCCAACTCCATCAGGTGGCCGAGAGCATTCTGCTGTTTATGTAGTTGAAAGGGAGCTAAAATTGTTAAATTTTCAATTGGCTCACACAACGAATCCATCTTTGGGAAATAATGGATCGTTATCTGAAGGAGGAAGGTTAAAAGGAGATGAGCTGCTACAAGTCAAGCAGGGCAAAAAACACATCAGCACTCCTGTTCCACATGATGCATATTCAGTTCTTTCTGTTAGCAGTTCTGGAAAGTAAGTTAGCCCCCATATTCTTCTTGTTTAAACCTTTCTGTGTAAAGTAAATTTTATATTTGGTTATGCATCCATGAGGATGGGTTAGCAAAATCTCCATTGTTAGGTTGATTTTGTTATGTATTTCTATCAAGTTTGTTCATCAGGGTCAATTATTGTTTTCAGTATCTCTCGTAATATCATCTATACGTGGGTGTTTTTTTGTTTGGAAATTTGTTGCTCACAGGCTTGATTTTGATGCAGGTACCTTGCTATAATTTGGCCTGATATTCCATACTTTTCTATCTACAAAGTAAGTGACTGGTCCATTGTTGATTCCGGAAGTGCGAGGCTTCTGGCCTGGGATACATGTCGAGATAGGTTTGCATTGCTGGAATCTGCCATACCTCCTAGGTTTCCAACAATTCCTAAGGGGGGATCATCGAGAAGAGCAAAGGAAGCTGCTGCAGCAGCAGCGCAGGCAGCTGCAGCAGCTGCTTCTGCTGCTTCCTCAGCCAGTGTTCAAGTTCGTATATTGCTCGATGATGGGACATCAAACATTTTGATGAGGTCTGTAGGCAGCCGCAGTGAACCGGTAATTAGCTTGTAGTCCATGCCCTTCAATTCTTTTTTCTTATACTTTATTTTGGGACAATGGTAATATGTACATCCGTAGTTCAATATGATGGCAAAGGGATCTTCCATAATTTAATAACGATTATCCACTTGCATGATCTAACATCCTTCACACTCCCAGTTGTGATATTCACTTACGTGGTTTACGCTTGCATAATTTAACTATTTTCCAACAAGACATTTCCTCCTAAAATTCCTTCACACTCCCATTTGTGAGATTGCCACATTAAGGGCAACCTAGGTGAAGATTAAGCATTGGAAGTGAAAACAAGAAATTTGGTGATGGGGAGTTCTTTTCAAGTCCTTCAATTTTTCTTCTCTCTCTTCTTTTTTCCCCTACCTCATTCAGCATGAGAAGGTTAATTTTATGAAGTAAGGTAAAACTTATTGTTGCTCTTGAAAGGATCAACAATGCTGATGTGATCCATATCTTTATTTTTTGGAGCTTGATATTGTGGTGATCCTTTGTAAGTAGGCGATGGAGGATTTTGAGTACATCCTTTGAAGATGCACTTTTACTGGAGGATTCATATTAGATTTTTGCAAGTGTTTGAGGTGGTGTGTGGTCCTCAATGTTGCTGTGGTATGATAGAAAAAGAGGGTTTATATCCTTCCTTTTGGGATAGATGTCAATTTTGGGGCAGGTAGTGTTTGTGTTCTGTATTTTCTGGAGTATTTGATTATTGTGTGTGTCTCCTTTATTTTTTGGAATGTTTGGTTAAAAGAGTACTAAGAAGATATTTAAGGGCTCTTGGGAGCAGGTTTTGGGATGTGGCTCACTTCGCTTTAGTGCCTTTTAGGTCCAGTCCACGATGCTGTCTTTTTGTGATCATCCTTTGGTTTTAATCACTATTAGTATTTTTTGCTCGCTCTGGTGCCTGAGTTTGGTCAATACTTCTCTATGACTCCCCTTTCGGTTATTAATTTCTTTATTCTTGATGAAAGTTGTTCTCTTTTTTCTTCTTTTGAACAACAGAAAAACATGTGTTGCACAGCTTAAGATGACTGTACATGAGCAAGTTCATGTCGGCCAATTATAGTCTCTCCGACTCCAGCACATCATGTCACATTCTATTATTATTACTATCATCATCATCAATATGCTACTCACAATTTACAAAAAGAACGTGAGGAATATCCTATTAGAATTCTCAAGAGGGACTACAAAAATACTCACGTTGGTGTTGATCACAGAAATAGGGTAGTTATAAAATTCCCTTTATAAGAGAGCCAAAATAGAAGCAGCCGCAAAGCATACAATGCCTAAAAATTTCATTTTTTTTTTCCTGATCTCTCGAAAAGTTGCATTTCTTTCCAGCCGTACTTTTAACATGAAAATTTAAAGCTATCGACCCGTCCAATCAATTCTTATTTTCTGTCCAATTTCCTCACTTGAACCACTTCTTATATGTATGTATGTATGCGTGCATATATTTATATTGTGGGAATCTGACTGGTTAAATATTTGGTTGAATTTTTTCAAAATAGGAAAACTAAAAATAATTCTATTGCCCTACACTATGCCCCATATATGAGGTATTTTCTTATACATTTATCTGATTATCAAAGATCTGCATTTCTTTTCAGTCATTGGATTTTCTACTGCATTCATCTCTTGCAGTGCCCAAAAGTCATTGCATTTTTTATTTTCTTATTAAACTGAAATAAGCTTAGTAAGTCATTGCATTTTTCATTTTCTCATTTAGTACGTGGAGAAATTATTTTTGCTAAAACAATTTTTTTTAGGTGGTTGGTTTGCATGGTGGGGCTCTTCTTGGCGTTGCATATCGAACATCCAGGAGAATTAGTTCTGTTGCTGCGACAGCAATTTCAACAATGCCTTTATCAGGATTTGGTAACAGCGGTGTTTCTTCCTTTTCAAGTTTTGACGGTCGTTTTTCTTCCCATAGATCTTCGGCTGAAACACCACCACCAAACTTTCAATTGTACAGGTGAGAATAATTGTGCATGTGGAGCTAAATTCTTTCTTTCTTTCTTTCTGTTTTTTTTTTATATATATATATATATGTACTCCATTCAGAAGAGGAACGCTCATCCACCCAAAAGGTCAATGGACACTAGAAGGCACTGATTGGCATGAATCAGAATTATTTTCTTAAAATGAGAAACAGAGATTCCTTCATTACATTAATAGATGAAATTACAAAAGTGGGCAAGTATGCCAAAGGAATTGCCATCCTCTTCCCATTGAGCTCCCTTTCTCCTCGATCCATAGAGACAAAATGAAGGTTTGGTGCTAACAGTTCATCACGAAATAAATGACTCACTAAACCGAGATCACTAACTAATACTAATCTAATACTAATAGAATAGAAAAGAACGATCTTTTTTGTATACTTTTCCCGGTTCCATTGCTACCGTGGGCTTGCTTGAGAATCAATATTTGAAGTAGTTTTTTTAGAGCAAAATTTTAGTGCAACTATGATGGGAGGTTTTACCAAGTGGGTAAACCGATATAAAACTGAGGTAGGTCGTTTGGTTGGTTTGTATTTCTGAACGTCTCAGCTAGTTTATTCTCATGGATGATTTATCCTACTTGTAAATGGTGATCTTGAATGTTCACAAGTCACCCCCTTCGTGTTTCTAAAAATTGAGTTTTCCCAAGGAGATATATATATTTTATGCTTTTATATTCACTTTTCATGGTAGTTATTGAGCGGATGGGAGCTTTCCATCCAGTTAATGACTTTGTTTTTTTTTNTATTGAGCGGATGGGAGCTTTCCATCCAGTTAATGATTTTGTTTTTTTTTTTTTTTTTGGTGGGGGGAGGGATGTCGATTTGGTAGCATTAACATTACCTCCTTTCCCGCCAGTTCAATTATCCCCTTTTATTCACTCTGGATGGTGTATTTCATGCAGCTGGGAAACTTTTCAGCCTGTTGGTGGGCTTCTGCCTCAGCCAGAATGGACTGCATGGGACCAAACTATTGAATATTGTGCCTTCGCATATCAGCATTACATTGTTGTATCTGCTCTGCGTCCTCAATATAGATACTTGGGAGACGTAGCAATTCCATATGCTACTGGAGCTGTCTGGCACCGTAGACAACTGTTTGTGGCTACTCCAACTACCATAGAGTAAGTTGTATTTCCCCCTTGCTTGTATAAATTCTTGTTGGATTTCTGGCTTAACATTCATCATATTCCTCATGAATTTTGTATACTTCTCAATAAATTGCAAGAGATATATCTTCAATTCTCTTCAGTTCAATTCAATCTTGCAATGTGTTTGTTTTGCTTTAGTTTCTGCCTAGCCTTTTTGTCTTGTCCTTTGATGTTTTCAAATTTCATGAGTACTCCAAATTAGACCACTTCAAGTGATGATTCTGCCCCCGAGGATTTGTTTGCACTTTATCTTGCCACATGGAAATCTCCCTCTATGCACCATACGTCATTGTATAACCAATACAAATTGAGGATCTCTTGCTGAAACTTTGGTCTTTTCTGTGAGGATGCTAGCTGTTTTGAGGGGATGCAGGCCCACACAGCCCTATTATCCAACCACGAACAAGGTCTAAACTACGTTCGTTCCTTTTGTGTCACTTTACCTATATGCATTGAAAGGTTGAACTTGCCATTTTTGTGCTTGTTTTAGTTTCAAATCATCATAATCATACTGTTGCTAGTTCTATGGCTTGTTAGGGAACGTTGGCCCTTCGTACCCCATTTGACCATGATCAGAGAGATCTGTCATGGAAATTGTCGGGTAGAGCAATCCATCTTGGATTCTCCACACACCGGGTTCAAGCCAGGACCCTCGTGGCCTTTGTAACCTTTAGCTGTCACTGATGAGAAGATTCCTTGGATTGCAACAGCTTCACCAATCAAAAGATTACCATCTTGGTAGGATACAACCTGTAAATTCCTTTTCTAGTTTTGATAAACTAATTTATGTAGGACAAGTCCACAGTAATACCTCTCTAATTCATCCTACATATGTGGGAACCACAAAGCCTGCTATGCTTTGTGACATCCCATGTTTCCATCTTTAGTGTCATATGTCTACAAGTCACTCACCCCTTATTCATAGCTAATATCCGGGCAACTTCATTTGACAGAAATTTTAGGAGGCTTTGTCAGGGTAGAAAAGGTTTCTAAGAAGATGATCCTGTGTTTGATTTTGGATAATCTTCAAGATCCTATTCTAGTCGTTGTGAAAGTCCAGTTCAGTTACCACTAGGATGCCACTTCAATCTTTCCTTCTCACTCTGGGCCTTGATTTAAAGACAGCTCCTGACGGCCGCATGGAGGTTGTTGTTGCCATCTTTATCATGTTTTCGTATGATTGTCTACTCCTTCCATTTTATTCTTCTGTTTCATTTGGGAGTCTGCCCTTTCCTTTCAAGAAATAGAAAAATAAGGCTTCTGAAGTTTGCCCATCCTTGGTAGTCTTCCCCAGAGACAACGTCTCCTTTTCTTCCATTTAGAACCTTTGTAATCTATAAGAAGCTTCCTCTTTTGTTCATGGTTTTGTTTTTTCGGATCCATATGAATCCTCCATTACACTGTTTTCTAAAAGAACTTGTGTGACTGTTGGATGATGAGGTCTTCAGTAGCATCTGCAACCCATAATGACCACAACCTTTTCTCCACTAATTGCAAACATATAATTCAAATGGGGTTCTGAAATTTTAACTATTCATCCTCTGCAATTTTGGTCAAAATTGCATGTGAAAACTTTGTTTTCAATCTTAGTTGTTTTACGCATCATCATTGGGAGATGAGGGAAAAACTTTTGACCAGGTCCATTGTTTCTGGTGAGGCATATTGGAGAAAGGGGAAACAGGTATTCTGGAGAGAGACAGGNTTTTTTTTTTTTTTTTTTTTTTTTTTTTTTTTTTTTTTTTTTTGCTTGTACAAGTAGCTTTTCTCATTCTTTGTCATAAAATGCAATACATATTCTTTTGAGATTTTATAAATTATTTTAAGTGCTATTTTATGTCGTTATGATTGAAATCTGAAATTTTAATTTAAAGGAGATACTACTAGAACTTATGCTACTTTGTTCTGCCTCATGTTCTAGATGTGTTTTTGTGGATGCTGGAGTTGCGGCTATTGACATTGAAATGAAAAGAATGAAAGAAGAGATGAAGTTGAAAGATGCACAAGCTAAAGCCATTGCTGAGCATGGGGAGTTAGCTCTTATCACTGTAGATGGCCCTCAAACTGTTGCCCAGGAAAGAATAACCTTGAGGCCCCCAATGCTTCAGGTCCAATCTTATTCCCTTTCTTTATATTTGACTATCTGTGATCACGATATTAGAAGTGTTGTCTTATTTTGGGTTTACATTATGTGAATCTTGATTTCATGCATATCCTTGACCGATATGGGAAGACCTTTCCTACTGACTTCAGAATACTTGCAGATTCTGATGGGGAAAGTTTCTTCCGGTGAGAAATTTAACAATTTCAAATTTTTAATTCAAAAAATTATGGGGACATTTGGTTTCTTATTTGGAGAGTAGTTCCTAAAACCAATTTTTATAGTTATTCTGCTCAACTAACCATCAAGTGTTTAGTTTTGGCCTTTCCTAGCGAAGAAGACCTTATAAATTAAATAAGAAACTCACATAAAGAAAATTGTTTCAGAAAACTATCAGGTGCACATCCATGCTGGATGTACGTCCAATACTTACCCTTTGTTCAAAATAGTATTTTCTAACTTAATTTCTGGTATGTAGTATATGATTCGCGCGAATCATATGAATAATGCTAATTTCCTTCTCATCTTTTAATATTAATTTTACCTTACTATATCAGGTGGTGCGATTGGCATCATTTCAGCAAGCTCCTTCTGTACCGCCATTTTTATCATTACCCAAACAGTCAAAAGTGGATGCAGATGATTCGATGATGCACAAAGATACCGAAGACAGAAGAGCAAATGAGATAGCAGTTGGCGGTGGTGGAGTGTCAGTGGCAGTTACTCGTTTCCCAGCTGAGCAGAAACGTCCTGTAGGACCTCTAGCTGTAGTTGGTGTTAGAGATGGAGTTCTCTGGTTAATTGACAGGTACTTGAATCTTGTACTATATAGGAATTTAAAGGACATAACTACCCATCCTCCCATTAGAAAGTACAAATGTTAAAGTTTTTCTGAAGTCGATAACCTGGTTCTCTGTTTGTTCACATATTTCCATTTTTTTATACTATCCCAGAGTTACTGGTGAAAGTTCAGTAAATCTTTCATGAACCATGTGCTTGTGAAGCATTTAAAAAATTATACTAGCTGCTCAATGTCGATCACGTTGAATGCATAGAGTTTGAATGCATAGAGTTTAAACCGTGAATCATCCTTCTTTGTCTCGTTTTTCAATGGCATTATCTTTTATGCTTTGGAGGATTCTTGAGTTTGAATCAGAAAAAAGTTCTGAATGCAATAATGAAAATCCCAACTTACGTTGCTTGAGTTTTCTTGGCCAGGTACATGAGTGCTCATGCTTTATCCTTAAATCATCCTGGTATTCGTTGTCGGTGTCTTGCTGCCTATGGTGATGCAATCAGTGCCGTCAAATGGTATGAGCTTCTTTTTTTCTTCTCATTCTTTTCATTGTGGTAATGGCTGGAATCGTTTCAAGTCCTAAATAGAACTTATTCTGCAGGGCAAGTAGGCTTGGTAGAGAACATCATGATGACTTAGCCCAATTTATGCTTGGTATGGGCTATGCCATGGAAGCTCTACATCTGCCAGGAATATCGAAGAGGTAAACAAACACTTGCAGGAAAGATGCGAACCCCCTGTAAAAGTAAAATGCCTATGTTTGCTTTTCCATCAAGATTGCTGGTCAGAAAGCATACAAACATGTACATCCATTTTTGTGGTTTGTTGCCGCTTTTAAGCCCCTTCATACGTAGTTCCTCAATAACTCTTTGAGTAGTAGCATGGAGTCTGCCACACTTGATATGAGATCAATGTGTCAAAACCATGTCAGTTGTATTGCAATCTGATTACTCTAGTCCTAGTTATAATTGTTAATCCATCTCTATTCAATTTTCAGATTGGAATTTGATCTGGCCATGCAAGGAAATGATTTAAAAAGAGCACTTCAGTGTCTTCTTACTATGAGCAACAGCAGGGACATGGGGCAAGATAATACAGGGCTTGATTTGAGTGACATTCTCAGCTTAACAACTAAAAAGGACGATGTGGTTGAAACATTTCAAGGAATTGTGAAATTTGCAAAAGAGTTTTTGGACTTGATTGACGCAGCAGATGCTACTGGACAGGTTGATATTGCTCGTGAGGCTCTTAAAAGGTTAGCTGCTGCAGGTTCCTTGAAAGGTGCATTACAAGGTCATGAGTTAAGAGGATTGGCTCTCCGACTAGCAAATCATGGAGAGTTGACACGATTGAGTGTAAGTGCTCGGCCTTACAGTTCACTTATGTTTTAAGCTTCGTAATTGGCCTAAGTTTGTATATTCTTCGTCTCGTGTAAGTGGCAGACTGGATACTTCGTGCATACAGTGGTTGGGTTTTCTTTCTTTAGATAATTAGTCTTCAATGGTCTGCTTATGATAAATGGCAATGTAAACGTTTCAGGGATTAGTGAACAATTTGATCTCAGTCGGCTCGGGACGTGAAGCAGCGTTTGCAGCAGCGGTTTTAGGAGACAATGTTCTCATGGAGAAAGCATGGCAAGACACAGGAATGCTTGCGGAAGCTGTGCTTCATGCTCAAGTATGTCAACTTTATTTGTTCTGCATATGTACTTCTGTCTGTGCATTAACTTGCAATTTTCAGGCTCATGGCCGACCGACGTTGAAAAAATTGGTCGAATCTTGGAACAAGATGCTACAAAAGGAGATGGAGCACACCTCGTCGGAAAAGACCGACGCTGCAGCTGCATTTTTTGCATCCCTCGAGGAGCCAAAACTCACAACCTTGGCAGATGCAGGCAAGAAGCCTCCAATTGAAATCCTTCCTCCTGGAATGCCAACTCTGCCATCTTCCAATCTAGCTCCAAAGAAGCCAACTCCTGGGGCACACGGTGCATTGCAGCAACCAGCCAAGCCTTTGCTACTGGAGGCACCGCCTGCTGATCCACAACAACAAACAGAAGGTACACCGACCCAATCGGAACCAACTGAACAGACTTCAGACGGTAAAGCCCCAACTAATACAGCAGCGACCGACACGTCTCCGACTACTTCAGTAGAAAATGTTCCGATAATGTTAAATGGTTTAGAGCCATCTGATATTCAATTAGCATCCTCCAACACCACACCAGTAGAAACTCAAATAATACCACCATCATCCGTAAATAATACGACACATTCAGAGGCAGTGTTAGAATCAACCGAGCTTCAGAACTCCTCTGTTCCACATTCATCGTCCTCAAACGACGCAGCACCACCATCAGACGCCCCATTTGAGGTGCCTGATCTTCTTCTGAATACATATCTTCCAAACGCATCACAAATTTGAAAGCTAGCCATAATTGAGTATAGAAGGTGAGGTTGATCTTGTTAACTGCTGTTGTAATGCATTCTTTCATGTGTTTGATTCTCTCTTGCCTATTGTGTTATACAAAGTTCCATATATTCTTCTATTCGTTATTGTTTTAGATTTAGAATGCATTTCATTAAGCGTTTCCATCTGTAATTTTCTTTTTCGAGTTAGCTAAAACGTAGAATTTGGCTAGGGAATATATTTTCGTTTTACAATGTTCAATATACTATACGCTGACTAGTTTGTTATGTTTTGTTTTAAATGTAAATTCTATAAAATATACGTGATGATCGTCTTTGATTGCCATGGTGAATATATCTAATAGCTTAGAAGTTTAAGGACTATTTAGAACTATTTTTCGAACTAGAATTTAAATGTTTCAAAGGTTTGATTAAAATATTAATTGAATTTAATTAATACTATTTTTTATTTTCATCTTCCAACCTACAAAATAGCAAAATATTAGAAAAGTTGACCTAGGAGAGTTGACCACATTTATAAATTTTTTTAATAAAGTGATAAAATAAATTAAAAGTACAATTTAAATATTTAAATGCTCAAAGAAATAATACAATCTTAAAATTTGAGTATTCTTTTTTTAAAAAATTAATTAGTTTAAGAGTACTTAAAAAAAAAAAAAAAAAAAAACGTTTATATATATCATAACTATTTTCTTTGGGCTTTCTCCATGTATTAGCCCAACGGAAGCGATGTTCAGCTCCAAGAACGAAAGGAAACAATTCGCAATGGAAGAAATCTCAGGGCAATCGACTTCGACGCCAACAATCGTCCGATCACCGAGCTTTGGGTTATTGAAATAGTCACTGATCCATGTGAATTTCGCGTTATTCAAATGAAGCAGATGGTTAGTGTTCAAATTATTCGAACTTGTTTATATATCTGTATGGCCGAATGATTTCGATTTTATGTGCGAAAAACTTATGATTTTGTTTGTACTTCATATGCGTTTCTTATAATTGGTCTGCCTCAAAGTTTTTGTTCCATGTTGACGCTTTCCATTTCGGATTTCGCCCTCTCTGTTTCTCCGATGCGTTTAGGTTGGTACATGTGAAGCATTGGTGGAGAATACTTTAGCTTTGGATGGAACTATCTCATCAAGTGATTTTTACAAGGCTGCTTGTGCTTTTGTTCATAGATGGAATCTGATCAACTCTGATTTTCCTTCATGGTCATGGATTCCATGTCAGAAACTACGGTGGATTAGTTCTGATGATAAGGTGAAGTTTGTTCTTGTTTGGATTAGATATCACTGATTTACAAGGCTGCTTATGCCTTTTTATATGCTACTAGGCGGAAGGATACTTATCTTTGGAGAAAATATGCCTTCAGAGACCACAAGAGGTCTGCTTCTTCCATTTTCGTGGTCCTTTTTTGTTTTTCTTCTGCAATTCACAAGTGTTCATTTTTTCGTTAAATCTTTTCTACAGAACGAGCAGGAGAAAGGAGAGTGTTTTGAGGAAATAGATACTGCTGGCAACAACAATGAGTCTCTCGATGAAGCTACATTAGTATGTGCTTTCTGTAATTGATGTTCTTGTGTGTGGTAACCATACTTCTTTAGTTGTGTGACATCTGTTGCGTTTATTAACTAAACTCTCCCGTTTTTTCTCAAGGTTCCATTCCCAAGTGATCATCAAGAAGTACATTACTATGATTTTCAGATTCTGCACTGTGCTTCATATAGTGTTCCAGTGCTTTACTTTCGAGCTTACAGTTGTGGTATGCAAGTTTTATTGTTCCATTATACCTTTTTAAGATCACGCTTTAGAATATTATTGTTTGATGCAAATGCAAACATAAGACTTTTAGTTTCTAGATATTTAGCAAATGAATTGTAACAGCTCAAGCCTACCGCTAGCAGATGTTGTCCTCTTTGATTTTTCCCTTTCGGGATTCTCCTCTAGTTTTTTAAAACACGTCTGCTAAGGAGAGGTTTCCATACCCTTAAAGAATGTTTTGTTTTGTTCTCCTCCTCAATCAGCGTGGGATCTCACATGAATAGCGTAATGTGTTCTTATGTAATATTTGGTTATTTATCCATAACTTTCTGAGCTCGCTAATACCTGTAATTAGCATGCTCCTTGAAATGTTGAATGTAGTTATTCTAAAAATGTGATTCGGTGGAATATATTGGAAATTAAGGTGTGTGACATCATGGGTTATTCCAAGTGGCTTAAGCCATTGCAAAATCTTTCAACACATTCTTAATTTTTCCTCTGTGAATTGATCTTTTAGACCCTTTTCCTAGAATCATGATCCTTAATTATTTTCAAAAAGATAAAGAAACTTTCCTTGATAATAGTAAAATATAGATCAACCAGTTAAAGTATTATATTCTCGACCAAAAGGTTAGAGGTACGAATCCTCAACCCTAGCTGATATTGAACAAAAAAAATTGAGAAGTATAAAAGAGGGGCAACACTGACAGTATGATTTTGACGCTGTTAGACAAGGAAGCTACAATAGAATGTCACTTGCATGTCGAGAATGAGTGGTTGAATGTATGTGCTTTATCTTCGCTATGATCTGTTTCCACTGTCTCTATCTTCCCCCTTGGCCTAATTATGGTATAGGAAATAGGAGGTTTAAAATATCTATTTTTTGGGTTGATGTGTTTGAATTCTGTTCCTAATATGAAGTATTTCCTATTCAGTATACTAATTTTGTAAAGTGTACAGATGGACAACCTCTGACGTTTGAAGAAATGAAAAAGGACCTTCCATCACAGTCTGAAGATGCACTATTGAATTCAAAATGGACGTTTATTACTCAGGAGGTACAGCTTTTCTTAGACAATTTTTTTGGCCTTTGGTTTTGGATGCACCAAGCATAAATGAGTTTGCATTAAAACAAAAGAAGGAACAGTTTACGAGCCGAGTAGAGAGAACCCCCTCCCAACATAAATGTGAGATCGGTTGGGGAGGAGATCGAAACATTCTTTATAAGGGTGTGGAAACCTCCTCTTAGCAGACGTGTTTTAAAAACTTTGAGGGGAAGCCTGAAAGGAAAAACCCAAAGAGGACAATATCTGCTAGCGGTAGGTTTGACTGTTACTAATGGAATCACAGCCAGACACCGGGTGATGAGCCAGCAAGGAGGTTGAGTCCCGAAGGGGGTGAACATGAGGTGGTGTACCAGCAAGGACGTTGTGTCCCGAAGGGGGGTGGATTGGGGGTCCTACATCGATTGGAGAAGGGAATGAGTGACAGCTAGTACGCTGGACCCCAAAAGGGGTGGATTGTGAGATCCCACGTCGGTTGGGGAGGAGAACGGAGCATTTTTTATAAGATACCTCCCCTATCAGATGTGTTTTAAAAACCTTGAGAGGAAATCTGAAAGGGAAAGCTCAAAGAGGACCGTAACTGCTAAATGTGGGACCATATGCATGTTCTGAAAGTTTCTTTTCTATTTCTGTCACGGGCATTTTCTGATTGAGAAATAAGAATGCAGGATGTTTTTTTTCCCTTTTTTCTTGTGCATTGGGTCAGGTTGAAGAATGGAAGTACATGAACTTTGTGATGTTAACTAGTTTTGGGTATGGATTAATGTCAGGAGCATCCATATTTAAACAGAATATGGTTCAAATTACATCCTTGTGGAACGAGGGAATGGATGAAGCTACTCTTACTTAGTGACGCATCCTGGTTCAAGAATGCAATAGCGATTGAAAGATATGTTGCCTCATGGCTCTCAGTTGTGGGGCAAGTAGTTGGCTTGAGAATCCCCATGGAAATGTTGAAAGATGGCGGTGGCATCCAGTTCTGATTCTGGTGTTCCTCACCATTTTATCAGCCTTGTGTATGTTTGGTTTCGCTATTGGCAGGTGGAGGGTGCTTTTAGACCATTGAAACCACATCTCAAAATTTGTATATATAATTGCTTTATGATATAATCTGATTATGGGAAATGTCATTTTTGTCATTTCCTACTAGCCTCGACGTTTATGGGAGTTTAAGTACTAAAATGAACGTGTAATTGCGAACAAGCTACACTTTGGGGACAAGTTAAATTATAAGTTTAGTATGTTTCATGCCTATCTAAATTTTAGAAAATTATAAGAGCATCTACTTGGTATTAAGAGTTCTGTTCAGACATTTTGAGTAAGATCGGAGTACGGAATTCGAATTCCTTCTTGCTTTAGTCCTGTTTGAATCTGTTCCAGCATGGATAGAGCGGCTAGTTCATGTTCTTGAAATCTGTGTTGGATAAAAACCAGATGTTGAAACCCCGAATTAAAATTTCCCTTGATGCATGCCAAGAATAAAGCCTAACGTAATGAATCAATTATTTTATTTTGTTTTTTTAGAATAAAAATCAATTTACAGATTAGATTGCGTTCGATTTTATCCCAACTTGTCTCCCATTCTTCCAGTCATTACAGAGCTCTCTAATGGAGTCGCACTCCCTCTACCTCTCCTCTTCCTCCCTATTTCTCCACAAACTTCCCTCTCACAAACCAATCTCTCTATCCCCGTCGCTCATTCCCTTCAATTCAAAGCCTCTCAGCGTCTTCAATGGCACCCATTTTCCCTCCATTAACAAAACCCCATTTCAAAACCCAACAAATCCTTCAAACCCTCTCAGAAACCCCCATTTCCTCTTCGCAAAAACCTCCCCATTTCTCCAATTGGTGAAATCCCATCTCCCTTTTGCTCTAACTCAGCTCCTTCTCACCCCTCTCCCGAGCCTCGCCTTGGAAACTGACCAAGCTTCTTCCGATAAGATAAACTTGGAGTCCATTTTAGTTTCGATTGATGACTTTTTCAACCGATACCCATTTTTTGTTGCTGGGTGTACTTTCATTTGGCTTGTTGGGATACCCTTGATTGACTACTATTTTCTAAGGAAGTACAAGTTCATTTCTGCCATTGATGCGTTTCGCAGAATTCGGGATGACCCAAATGCACAGCTCTTGGATATTAGAGATGAAAAGAGCTTGGCGTTTTTAGGGTCTCCCAATTTGAGGATTTTGAATAAGGATGTGGTGCAGGTTGTGTATTCAGAGGAGGATGAAGATGGGTTCGTGAAGAAGGTGAAGAAGGGCTTTGGAGATGGTGCTGATACTCAAGTATTTGTCCTGGACAAGTAAGTTGTTTCCATATACTTCAAATGAAAATGGATTTGTGTGATCTTCATACTTTTATTTTAGTTTTTTGCACGCTGGAGGCAGTGGGGAAGATGGAGAGAGATGAGCGAGGGAGGCCAAGAGAGGAAACATGGGAGAGAGGAAGATTGAGAGAGGGAAAGCCCCGCTAGCCGATACTGTTCGCTTTGACTCATTACCAGTTAGCCTTACGGTTTTAAAACATGTTTGCTTGGGAGAGGTTTCCACACCTTTATAAAAAATGCTCCGTTTCCCTCCCCAATTGTTGTGAGATCTCACAATGTGGAAACTTCTCCCTAGTAGATGCATTTTAAAACTGTGAGGCTGATGACAATCCGTAACCAGCTAAAACAGACAATATTTGCTAGCGATAGGTTTAGGTTGTTAGGCTATTACAGAAAGGAGGAATATGGTGTACTCCATAAATGTGCAAACTTCAATAGCGAACACTGTTGTAGTTATCATGGCCTGAGTCATGTCATATGGTTTTCCTATTTAGCTAATGGGGCCTAAAACTAAACGGAACGCCCCGAAAACTTTGCTCTCTTGCCAATTATATGAGTTCAATTCATAACGTGCTACGCTTTTAATGTCTAAGGTAGTTTTGATGGTAACTCCATGAAAGTGGCCGAGTTATTGTTCAAGAATGGCTTCAAGGAGGCTTATGCAATCAAGGATGGTGTTAGGGGCGAAAAAGGGTGGTTGGTATGTGTCCTCCTTTTGCTAATCTACTTGATGAATATACTCATGTTTTAGTTGAAGGCTTAATCATGATGCGTTGTAATGTTTATTTTGATTTGTTTTCTTGCCTCCTTTTTGGGGGGCTCTTTCTTTTGGTGGCCCCTTCGTTTTGGTATTCTTTCATTTTTTTTCTCAATGAAAGTTGGGTTATTCATTGAAAAGAGAGAGTAACGAAAAGTGGGGAAAGATAGCTAAACATCGAAAGCCAAGGTCATCCTCGGTCCTCGTCCTCTTCTAAATCAATGTACCATCTAAAGATTCTCCTTCGACATTCGACTCATGATTTCCAATATTCCAATGTTCGATCTCTTCCATCTCTGCCTTGCTCATGTCCATTTCCTATTAACCACAATCATCATCGTGTTACTTTTCTCTTCTAGGTGGTGAAGTCAATTGGGTTTCCTAACTCGAGAACTTAGAGGCAACAGTGGTTGACGTTCCTCTAGACACGGTTGGTAGAGCTTGCTTTATTCTTCTCTAGTACCACTAGCATAGGCTACATCCCCATGTAAGATCATCTATTGTCAAAATCCAACTCATCTTCTCTTGGTCATTTTCTTCCAACATCATTCAAACCAACCATTATTTATGCTTAGAATATGATCCAAAGGTATTGGGTCAAGTCAATTTCTTTATATCAAGGTGTTGTATAAGGAGATACAAGACTCTGCCCATCTATCCACTCTTGGTTGATTGTGCAAGTATGTTTAATCTTGTTAAATGACTAATCAAACCTAAAAGCTTGAGTTGATGGATTAAGGTAAATTTGATTATATCATTTGTGGATGCACTATTAATTGGAACGGAAATGACTTTAAAGGGGTTCGAATACAAGACCTCTTGCTTTGATCCAATGTTAAATCAGGTTGGCAAGATAGGCGATGGTTCGTTAACCGTCACACCCTTTTATCTTGGCTTCTTAATTTCTAATTGATTTCCATTTTTGTTTGGCCTACGAGAGTTCCAACCTGTTTCCCCACAAGTCATACGATCACTTATTCTTCATCTGTTATGAATCTCTTGGGATTTGATCTAACAACCTTGTTGAAGAATGAGACCTTTAGATCTAAATTATTCAAGAACCCCAAAAACGATAAGAATTCATCCCAATGAACTTTTCAAATCGACCGAAGTTTTTCCATTTTGAAAATGTATAAAACTTAATCAACCAACATTAACTATTTGATTCAAGTTAGTCTCAGCAGTTTTTTCAGAGTTTTCATTTTCACCCTGAATTTCTCTATCCAGATTCCATACCTACTACCTGTGTTGACAGTAGGATGAAAAGGTTCTTTAATTTCTTTTCTTTCCAAATCATGACTTGGTGGAATTTAGAAAGCAGAGGTTAGACTCTTCTCTAATTTAGGTAAAGCTTTCTGTTACTTACTTTCATCCTCTTTGCAGGCGATACAGGAGTCCTTGTTACCGCCTTCTGTTCACATTAGCAGAAGGAAAAAGGCTAAAGCTTCCAAAAAGTTTGGGACTAATGGAGTTGTTCAACAAAGTGGAGACAAAGAGGCTGTTCCATCTTTGAAATCCTCCAATGGAGAAATCCAAACTTCACCCCTCCATGTCAATGCATCGTCAGACACCGAGTCCAAGTTGAAAACTCGGTCAAGGTCATCGTCTCCTTATCCAAACGTAAGTTCACTCTGTCAACTAATACATCTTTTAAGTATGAACTGATTTTTCACTCTTTATAAGTAGAGAAAAAGAAGGTCTAAGCTCAATTAAAATACAAAAGCACATTGTAATTTTTGTATGTTACATTATCTAGTCCAATATGCTTCTAAGCAATATAAAAACAATCAAAAGCCTTTGAAATGCCTCAAAGGAAATCATTTAATTAGTGGTTTTCCTTAAACTGCTTGTATCAAGTGTTTCATCTAAAAACACAAGCTTCAAAAATGTCTGAAAGTCACTCAGTCATGGAGACAATATTAAATTTGATTCGGTAAAAGGTGAATCATGATTTAGTGTTTGTATTTACATTCATTGTGGATTTTCTGTGCATGTGATTTACAGACTGACTCCATTTTCTATAACACTGATATATGACAGTACCCAGATTTGAAACCACCATCTTCTCCAACTCCCTCAAAGCCAAGGACATGAAAGACTAAAAAGTTTTGAGCTGATCATCTTGTTCTGCATAGAGAAGACTACAATACTATCAAGCGGCTGCTGCTAATGTTTCCATGTGGTTGTTGTAGACTCCAATTTTTTGGCAACTAGCTGTATATAATACATAATTTAGTCTTTTTGCTCCTTAATACAGTTAGTGCAATTCAAGATTTAAGCAAATGAAGGCACTTCGACATTCCTCAATGAATAATTACAGGAAAATGGAGGTGATGGATTGACATAAGAGGCGTAATGCAACTAATAAAAAATGTCATGTTTTTCATCTCCATCAAAATTGTGTTCTACAATTCTCTAGAGCATCCTCCGTCAAACAACAGGGTCGGAAGACTAGCTCGAGTTTGGCTCTCAAACAGATGAGTATGGTTAGGCAATCTAACAAATGTGGAGTTGGAAAGTTTTACACAGTGAACAAAACTTCACCTTCTAACTATATTTTACTAATCTTTCAATCATGAAAATTAAGAAAATGGTGCCCAAGGGAAGAAAAGAAGAAAAAAATGAAGGGAATGGGAAGAGGAAGGGGAAGGAAGGTAAAGGATGAGGAGAAAGAAAAGGAAAAGGAAAGCCACCCAAACTAAAACCAATAAAAACTAGTACACTTCATTCAAAAATCTTCAATTAGTCAGGGGGCAAACTAACGAACTCCTTGATTTCGAAGAACTTCATCATGCAACAATTAATTCGGCATTCCATGGCTTGTTTTACACGATCCCCCCCCCCCCCCC